TTTGTACAGTATTGGCTGAAATAGAAGCGTGTTTAAACAGTAGACCACTGGCTCCATTGATCTCTAATGATGATGGAATTGAAGTCCTCACGCCTGGACACTTCCTCATAGGAAGACCTCTAATGACTTTACCCCAACAGACTCAAACTAAAAAATTATCACTATTAAAGCGTTGGGAATTGTGTCAAACACTCGTGGTCCATTTTTGGAAAAGATGGTCTGCTGAATACTTAATCTCCCTCAATAGATTCAATAAATGGCACTCTCCGAGCAGGAATATAAATGTCGGTGATATTGTCCTGTTAAAGGAAGATAACATGATTCCTTCTCAGTGGCCATTAGCTCGAATAATCAACACTCATCCTGGAAACGATGGTCTAGTTAGAGTGGTGACGTTGAAGACCTCAAAGGGAACTTATAAAAGACCCATCACTAAACTGGTTGTTCTATTACCCATTGATTAATAATACTATCTTAATCATTACATTATGTACCATGCTTTCATTTATTGTATCCATGTACATGTATTCATTATTATGATTTGTAAGACCGTCTGGTCTTGGCCGGCGGTATGTTTAGACTAATATTGTGAAATACCATAATTGTCCTTATTGATCATTTTTTTTGTAAAAAATTTACTACACATTTTTTTTAGAATAAGATTTTGTCTCATGTTAAAAGTTCTTAGCGCCTCTCTTTGTCCTGCCAGCTATATCTATTAGCAGCCCTAACAGTTGGAGATATTTAACTACTGATGAATCAGGATTGACCGATTGAGCTATTTCAATGTCATGTGGACGAGGTTTTAAACTGAATACGCCAGCTAAAAATCGAACTAGCTCTAAATTAGAACTCATACCAGCAAAATAAAGCATGGTTTTTAGATCATTAGTTTCAGCTAGTGCATTACAATTGAGTTCAGTTAGAAAGTATTGTACTAACTCCATACTACCAGCTTCACATGCTCCATGAACTGAAGTGTATCCATTATTATCAGGATCATCAGGAGTACAGGGGAAGGTCTCTATGAGATAACGTACCATACGAATATTATCAGAACGAGAAGCATAATGAAGAGGAGTACAACCAAACTTGTCTTTAGGTATTGGATTAGAGACAATGTTTGGTTCTAAATACTGGTATATTTCAATGCTTTTTCTTACTGCAATCATTCTTGTCCATGACTTTCTAGTACCCTTTTTCTCTGCTAGTAAGTGTAAGCAGGTAATGCCATCTTCATCTTCTGCTAAAGGATCCAGTCCATGTGTCTCAATTAGTGTTCTTACTATTCCAATATCTCCTCCTTCACATGCTGCATGAAGGAAACCACGTCCTCTATTATCCATTAGATTAACACCTTGAGGATAAATACTGGCTAGATAATGAAACACATCAATATGATAATCACTGCAAGCTGTATGAAATACAGTGGATCCTTCATTGTCAGTAGCTGTAAGGAGATCATGATGAGTAGAACTACCAGTGACTGAGGACAATAAAGCTTCAGTGGTATCCTTATGACAAGAGGCAGCTGCTAAGTGTAATGGTGTCTGTCTTTTCTTGTTAGTAATTAATAGATCATTGTAAGATAGACTGGCTTTTAGTAATAGTGATACCATCTGCTGTTGTTTAAGTCGACAGGCTAAATGTAATGGTGTATTACCATCTTTATCTTGTACATTAATAAGTACAGCATTATGTGGATTATTGTATATGTCATGAGGACTGTCTAATAAACACTTTATCTCACGTAACCAGACAACACTCATTGAGGGTATACTCTTACTCAGTAAATACTCTAATACATCAAGTTGGTCCACTGCTACAGCTAAATGGAGTGGTGTACGGTCTTGATGATTGGTTGCATTAGGATTGCAATAATTATTATCAATGAGATACTTCAATGTATTCAAGTGACCCCTCTCTATAACTGATATGTGAACTGCTCCAGACCCTTCATCATCAGTAGCTGATAGATTACACTTCTTACTAATAAGATATTTAATAACTTCTAACTGATTGAAGTAGACAGCAGCAAGGAATGGAGTATGACCTCGAGTATGACCTTGCCCTCTGGTAGGTAGTTCAAGTGATAATGGTATGTGTTTTATAATGTACTGGACCAAGTTTAATCTTCCCTCACTACATGCTAAGTGAATAGGAGCCATTCCCTCATCATTCACAGCACACAGATCTAACTCATGATTCTCTACCAGATGTTTGAGTATAGGAAGAGAGTCAGTGTACTCACAGGTAATGTGAAGAACTGTTGATCCATTAGAAGTCTTGGCTGCTACATTACACTGAGGAAGACTAGTGAGATAAAGTACAACAGGAACATGACCTCCTTCACATGCTTTATGAAGAACTGTACTACCAGTATCAATAGTAGTGGCATTAACATCACACTGATACTTGTTGATCAGTTCCTGTAGACAATGTAGCTTACCATTAGAAGCAGCTAAATGAGCTAGTGTGTACTTGATATCGTCAGTGTGATTAGTAATATCCACACTATACTCCTGACTGTACCATTCCAGTATATGAGTATGACCATTCTGTGCTGCTTCATGTAATACTGAGAAACCAATGTTATCAATACTGATAGGCTCAAGCTTGTATTGTTGTATCAGTAATTGTACTAGATCAAGATTACCTGAGGAACAGGCAAACATGACACAATTACTACCATATGAGGTGTTAGTAGCAGTGACATCACACTTCATGTCATCTATTAGGAAAGTCACTAATTGAATATTACCACTACAACAGGCTAAATGTAATGCTAGTGTACCCTTATCGTCAGTAGAGTGTAGTAAAGTAGTGTATTGAGGATACTGATTGATGATATGCTTGATAAAATGAGTATGACCTTGAAGTGATGAAAAATGAAATATATTCCAATTTTTGTTATCTGTTAGGTTTAGTCTACACTTGTAATTCTTCAAGTATAATTCCAGTAGTAAAATATCACCAGATTGAGCAGCATAATGAATTGGTAGCTTACCATTACTGTCAGCTTGATGAGGGTCTAACTGATAGGTAGTTATTAATTCTTTAACAAGAGATAAGTTAAGAGACAGTGACGCATAATGTAAAGCAGTGAGGCCATTCTTATCAACTGCAGTAGGAGACAAACCTTGTTCAGTAATAAGATACTGAACTAAATCAAAGTTACCACTCCATGCAGCATGATGTACTAATGTGTGTCCTTCGTTATCTGTTTTATTAATATCACAATGCTGTACCTCAATGAGATATTGAGTGATATCAATATGACCATTACGACAAGAATGATGAAGACATGTCATACCATCATTATCAGTGATATTAGGATCACTGTTATGATTATCAATAAGATGTCTAGCAAAGTTAATACTACCTGACTGGCAGGAGTAGACTAATGGTGTTTGACCAGTATAATTAGCATCATTAACATTGAGATTATAATGAGATATGATATAACTTAATACACTAGTAAAATTTGACCAGGCAGCATAATGCACGGGAGCTATACCATCATTACTTAATGTACAATTGATGTTATATTCTTCTAATGCTTTCACTAGTAATGTACTGCCACTGCGTGATGCACAATGAAGTAATGAATGACCATCATTTGTAATGAAAATGATGTCAAAGTGGCAATTAATAGCTTTCTTGAGAAGGAAGTCAAACATTTCAATTCTTTTGTTCCATGTTATAAAATTAATGTTATTTTTAATTGTATTACCACTAATAATCTGAATATTTGGTGCATCACATTGTGCAAGTAGCTTACTATACACAGTAGTGGCTTTAATACTAATAGATGCATCACTTGCATGATGTAAACATGAGTAGCCATTATTATCATTAACTAATAAAGCTTCATTACCTTGAATGCTAACAATATACTCAACAACTGATGATGAAGCAAACCATGAAGCAATATAAAGTGGAGTCCTATCATATCTGTCCTTTACATCAAGGGGCAATTGATATCGATTTAACAAATGCTTAAAAAGTTCAACATTATTACTTATAGAAGAGTAATGCAGAATACCAAATCCATAAAAATCAGATGAATTTGGTTTGAAGAGATGTACTGCTTCCAGCTTATGAACTAATGCTACCTGCCCACTTATACAAGCTAACAATGATAAAGAAGCATTATGGGAATTAATTTGAGAAATATTACAATTTCTCTCAATAAAAAATTCCACTAGGTCAGAATGGCCCCCCATTGCTGAGTACAGTAATGAAGTGTTATTGCTATTGTCTGGTTGATCAGGAGGAACGTCACACGTGTCTACTAGATATTGTACTATAGATAAGTGGCCTTTATAAGATGCCATATGTATACTAGATACACTATTATCATCACCTTCATTAGGATCAATACCATATTGATGGATGAGTAGTTGAAGGATCTCAATGTGTCCACCATATGATGCAGAGTGTAATGGAGTCCAGCCATGAAAACCACGATGATATCTGCTGTAGCCAAACTTGTCAAGAAGCCATTGTACTTCATCTTTTAATCCTCTCCAAGCTGCTTCATGTAATGGTGTACTGGTATTCTCATGCCATAATCGATCACATATATCTAAAAGGAATTATCAATATACATGAATGAATCAATCACCAAATAATGGCATCACAATAGGTAGTGGAAAGTAAAATTACATATTATACACATCCCCTTACATACCAATATCTAAAGATGACTGCTGCAACTCTTGTGATGCTGAAAACTATTAAAACAAAATAAATTCATTTAATATTAAAAAATAATTACAAACCTTTCTTAGATCATATTTATGATCACCACATGTTAGTTCAGTGATACCAATACTAGCTAACTGTTGCTGTATCTCAGTAGATAGAGGAAACAATGCAGAGTATAAGTAATCAGGAATATTATGTAGCAGCTGTAGTGAGCCAATACGAACGAAACTAAAGTATAGATTAACGTTAGGAATATTTAGTTCTTTCGGTATTGCTCTACGAAAGAAGAAAAGGTTAGCTGGTGTGTAGTCATGACGATCAACTTTAGCAATCATTACTTGTGTACCAGGAGGAACATCTTTTATACCAAATTCTAAAGCATTAGCATCAGTTAATAAGCCACCCTTGTTAAGAAAATAATCCTTCAATTTCTCCTTATAGCCTGACCAAGTCCTCATTAATGAATGATTTTTAGGTTGGAATACATCAACAAGTTTAACTATTAGTTCATAGTTGAACCATGATATGTACTTTCGTTGTAAAATCTTAAAAAGATCTTTCATTGTTTGAATGTTATTAAACTCTTCTGTAATTTCTTCAGTTTGATTATTTTTGTTTGGACCAAGTAGAGCAGCAACATGTGTCTTAAGATAATCAATAATATCTGGAAGGAGTTCAGGTTTAAAAGCATCTCTTGTTTCTTTAAGAATATCAGAGAACTCTAATTGTAGCTCATAGATCTCATCCAAAGGACAAACATCTCTTACAGGAAATGCATAAATTGAAGCATCTAACAATAAAAATTATAATACTTTTGTTAATAAAAAGTAATGAAGTCTTTTGACACTAAATTTGTCAAAATTCACACTCTAAAACCTAATTGTCAGGGGCGTAGCCAGGGGGGGGCAAGGGGGGCAATTGCCCCCCCTTTTTTGAAACTCAAAATTTAAAAATAATCAAATAATAAGCTGCTTTTGGAAAAAAAAGCTGTTCTACAACTTACATATGAAAGGAAAAGGCCAAAGCAGTCTTTCTATGATGCCATTATAAGGCTGAAAAGGTATTCAACGTTGCCTATGATCGGTCAAGAAGTCCGCCATGTTGAAAAATAGGTGTGGCCACGCCTCAAAAGGGCGTGGTTTCGAGAAATTTCGCGGCGCGAAGCGCGCCGCACAGCTTGCCCCTCCTTTTCAAAAATCCTGGCTACGCCACTGATTGTGTCATGCCTGCTTATCACTATAGACACCAGATGTACAATAATGAATACTATAGCTGTTATTATCCTCTATTGTGATAGCTATAGACATATTTGTTGAGAATTAAATTTTGCAAGTCTGTAAATGCATCCAAAAGGACTGCAAAATTTACATAACTGTCAAAACTTAATCTGAAATTTTTAAGGATTTGAAATTTTTTCTCTGCAAAACTAACCAGCTGTATAGTACTTACTACAACCATGTGACTGCATATAACACTATTTGCCATACACAAAATTTAACATCTCTTTTGCTATCACAATTCACGCTAATTATATCAGTTCTGCTTGTCATTACAACTATGATAACAGCCATGTAGCCATTCACTATAATTAGTACGGTCAAGAGTACATGATGGTACAATATACAAAATATGATTGGTTTATTTATAGTCATCATTTCAATGTTTATAGCAATTAATTTTCTAAAAAAGGTAGCTCTGACATGTATTATACCTTATACCAGGTATGTGGGTGGTTTCCACGGAGAAACCTTTGGTGTCTAGCGGGAGTTATAAAGTGGATTTCACTTGTGTTTGACACTGAGTATTATTGCGTGGAGATCACATGCGCCTAATAAACCACGCACGGAAAATCAACTCACACATCAAGCAATGTTCAAACGGAAGTGTAATCCGCAATATGCCTGCAGACAGTGTGGAATTTCACAGTTTACATAAGAACACTACTGCAATGGCACATATTCATTATTCAAAATGAATAATTAGAACATACGGCCGAGGGGTGCGCGTTAATTAGAAGCACATTATTAGTGCAATGTCAATGGCGATGCTGTTCGAGATTGAGGCCTTGTTGCCAGGTAGTGAGGTAGAGAAGCAGAGGAACTGAAAGTTTCTGAGCTCAAACACTGACTTGAGTCCATAGGAAAGTCTATGTAAGGAAAAAAAGCTGATTTATAAGA